TTCAATTGCAGGAATTACACAGTCTTCGACTAAAACCTGGAGTTCTTCTCTTAGTACATCTGTGATTCCCATTTTGATAAATTAAACTCAGATCTGTTACCACTGGAACTGACTTGGAATGTAGCAGAACTCTACAGTCATATTTGGAGTATTTAGAGTTTTTCCAAATAATAGAGCAGGGGCCACCAACACGGTGCCCACGGGCACCTGGTCACCCGAAAGTTCTAAAAATAGGCATTGTCATTAGGGAAAGGTAAATGTTTCTAGGCGTATCTTTATATGTGATATATAGTCTTGTACCGGCATTGTGTGAGATATAGAGCAAGGGTGAGATGAGCTGCGAGCTGGACTGCTTGGTGGAAGGAGGCTGTCTGAACCAAATGAACAATGGGACCGAGTACACAGAGGTCCGTCAGCATCAGTCTGACCACCACCTGCTCCGCTTCTACTTCGTGACCCGCATCTTCTCCAGATACATGCAGAGCCAAGGATCGTTTTGCGTGGAACAACCTGCAAAAAACAGACTAAAACTGGGAGAAAAAAAGGTTAATTCCACCAAAACCTGACAAATGCTGACCATGTGAAGGGAGTCTAACAGGACAAAAGTGAGTTGAACTTTAGTTCTGCTAGTGAAGTTACAATATGTTAACCACTAGGGGGCTGCAGCAGTAAAACGTGCAGTGTGATTGGGGAGAGATTAAACAAGGAGAGGTTTAATAGGGTATATGCCACGAGAGGTGGTGACGTACTTCCGTTTAGATTTATGCCACATAGAATGTGCCCGGTAGCCTGTGCTTCCATATAGTTCTCAGCACTTGTGAGAATGTAGAAGTCACTGGAAGTGACATATCTTCGAGCAACTGGCACAACATCCGAATTTTGTTGTGTACCGTTGTGTCCGGTGAGTAGCAGGTGTAATAAATTTGTCAGTTTTTTCTGCTTCCCTACTGATGAGGAGTTACGGAAAAAATGGATAGTGGCTATCCGGAGAGCTAACTTAGCCATCAAAGCTCACACTAGAGTTTGTAGCCGGCATTTCAAACGTGAGGACATACAAGAGCCTGAGTCTGAAATCAGAAGACGAAGGTTAAAAAAGGGAGCTGTATCTGTTCTCTTCCAGTGGAATAATTTTTCCCTTCCACGACCGGGGGTTTGGGAGAGGAGGAAAAGACCACTACCAGAGGACAGCGAGGAGGAGGCTAACCCACCGGCTAATGTCTGTACTAAGGAACACGATTATGCCTCAGCTCCAGACCCTGCAGTTGTGGATTTGATTTTGGAGGAAAACAATACTCTCCGGGAGGAAATCCGCCAACTACGGAAACAGGTGGAGAGCCTTAGTCTGAGGTAGCGATTTGGCATTCAACGTTTTGCATTATCGGACAAGGACATTAGATTCTTCACAAGGCAAGGCTGTGACTGTGTGTGACACGTAACATTTACAAAGCACTTACTGGCTAGCTTAGCTGTGTTATACACATATACAGGCATTTCGGAGAACTTAAAACAATCACTTACCTTGGAAGTCCTTTATGAAACTGCACACATACAGCTTAAAACCCTTGTCCTTTTTCGACGTCGGAGTTGTTGAAGCTGCTTCAATAATCCGATAAACGACGTTAACATTTACTTTGGGCAAATCCAGCAAGGACCGAGTGAAAAACTCCATCGCCTAACACAGAGTGACCTGCGAACCGGAAGCATTCTATGTGGCTAAAAAATGCGGAAGTGCTAAAACGGAAGTCCCTGGCATATACCCCATTGAATGATGCAAATGGTTATGAATAAAAAAAAGGAGTTTTGCAAAAGAAATGACAAAACTCACAAATGTATTAATAGAAAGTTGGGCCAGGTGAGCCGATCAAAAAGAACAAAACGGTACAGCAGGGGGCCAACCCTATACAGGGCCGTCGAAGCCCCTTCTAGTACCGGACTAACGCCAAAAATGATTCTACTCCAAAAGAAAGAGCGAAAACAGGACAACCGGTCCCACCAGGCCAAAATGACAACGCAAAAAATTGTGAAACTTATTTTCACAGTTATACTAACTGTATTAGAAAAATAAGAAAAACTATCTGGGCCTCATTGAAAACCTATTTCAAATCATTTCAATTTCAAAATAAAACAGAATATGCATGTAGCTCCTGATTGTTTTATCTACTGCAATGATGCAATATTTCCAGCAACTCCTCTGACAGAAAACTGATAAGTATTTCAAGATCAGCCACTTTTGAATTTGCAAAGATAAATAAAGCTTTCAATGTGCGTGTACAAAACCTGTTTATGAAGCCTCATTTCTGTGTAACTGCTATGTTCACAAAGGGCACAAAATATTTGAGGACATGAGGCAAGAATGAGTGTTTCTTGAACTTTTGTTTTGGTCCGGCTGCTTTGATTTTTTTGTGAAGGGAAAAAGAGAGAGTTAAATACCCTTCCAGTTTTTCACCTGGTCTTCCAGTTTTAGTCAGTTTTTGCAGGTTGTTCCATGTGAAACGATCCTTAGATGCTGCCATAAAGAGAGAGAGGAAACGGGACATGGAGGTTTGGCCCATGAGAAGTAGCAAATGTATCTAAATTGAAGCAACCAAGTTGTTCATAATAGCTGTCTGTTGATGGAATGACTTGTGTATTTTTAGTCAAGGACACCCTCAATTACCTCATGGACTTGGACCTCTCCCAATCTGAGGAGAAGATGGAGTTCTTGTTTTTTTAGATGTCCCAGGTGGTGCAATCTGACCAGATAAGTACATGACAAATTAAAGCTAATTTATGCTTCTGACTCTCCACAGGTTATTGACTATATTGAAGCTTTCTTTAGCATTAAGGCTAATTTTTAGCATCAGAACGCTGGGTCCAAACCGACGGGCACACTTTGGCAGGCCCCTTAAAATTTCTGCAGGAATTTTCTAGTTTGGTACCTACAGGTCAAAATGTTAAACTTCAACTTAAAAATTAGAAGTGTAATTACCAAATTTGGCCACTTGATGGCAGCATAAGTTCGTCCTGGAGTAATGCATAGATGTTGGAACAAACCCAGTCTACATTATAACTTATGATGGTAGAAGTCATAAGATTAATAAATAATACACATATTAGAATTATAATTAAAATGACTACATATTTATTAAAACATCAACTTAAGCTTTTTTGCCAGTTGGCACTTTAATGTAGAACTATTTCAAAGAAATAGCAAACCATCACAATGTTTGTCTTCAGGCCGTCTGCTCTGTGGGAGCACTGTCTCAAACAGAATCAGATCAGACAGCTTCAAGTATACAGTCAAACAAGGTGCTTTAAGAGTCACTGGACTCTGACTGGCCTACTGAGCCGTGACGCTGTTTGAAATGTGCCAATGTCCTGAGCTGTAGAGTGACCCTGCAGTCCAAAAGCCATGAGATAGCCATGACTTTGGCCATCATAAGGAGTAGTTATTGACTGAAAACTTTCTTTGAAAGTCTGGTTAAGAAGCAGTTTGTTAGAAAATGCAAGATCATTCTACGCTCAATGATTTCCTCTCATATAGATTGTTGCTTTACCAGATGGTTGATGGGAGACAATAGAGAGATGTTGTTGGTTTAGGCCATATTTTATAACTATGACACTGTCAACCATTTTCCCCTTCATATAGCAAAAACATTCTAGAGTCAAATGTGAGGCCATCTGTGTGACAACAGAAACTTTGCCCAAACCGGGACGTGCAAGCAATGCAGAAACGATGCAATCAAGAGCTGGTTGAAATTCTTGTACAACAGTGTGACAGACTTATAAACATGTTAAATGCCTCTGGCAAGTTGAAATCTATTGCAACATGGCAGACATTTAACCTTTTCAAGCTGTGTCAAACTGGTTATGTAACCTAAACCCTGGAAGCTAACGGGGCTCAAGGTTTGATTGGATATTATCTTAAGGATTGTGTGGGTGGGATATACAGGTGAGGATCATTATAGCAAGTTGAACTATTTGACTTAATTTAATAAATTCATTTAAAAAAATCCCTAATTATTGAGGAAAACAATACCAAAATGTTATCAGACTCTCAGGTCTACATGAGGAATAACATCAAGCTTTTACACAAATTAATACATTTATTGAAGAAAAATGCATGCTTCATTTTAAAAATAACACATTTCAGGTCCACATGTAAAATAATTGCAAGACTTTTTTGTGTCTGTAGATTTAAACATTTTTCAAGATGTTTAAATGAATTAAATTAAGTTAATTTACAAAGCATGACTTCCCAACAAATGTACTGTAAAGACACTCAACCAAAGACATCGTGTCTATATTCAGAAATATTTAGTCAGATTAATCAAATCATGTAAATTCAAATTCAAAAACACTCATCCTGGGTCTATCCTATTACTGAACAATGCAATAAAGTCTGTTTATTTCAATTGGTAAGAAGTTTGTTTGTTTGTTTTTTCAATCTGAGGAAACTCAGCTGATTACATCAAGTCACTGACTTTGCAGCAAACCCTGATATTGAGCAGCAACTATTATTATTATTAGTCTTGTTTTTATTGTAGTTGTTTTTTTTTTGTTTTTTTTATTGTAGTTGTTGGGTAAAACTAGGGTGCAATGTAAATGGACTAAGATCCTAAAATGTGTTTTAAACATGAAGAATGTCTTGTTATAAGTCTTGTAACAAGATATTTTTCATGTTCTAAGTGAAATAATCTTCCAGTGCAACTAGCACTTTTTAAAATCAATATTAATGAATTACGTACTTAGAACGTAAGTACGTAATTCTTTCTGAAAAGTTACTTGTAAGTTAGTTTTGTCGTATTTCAAGTGCACTCACCTGTTTGCACTAGAACCTAGATCAAAACGTAAGGTTAGTAAGGCTTGGTGTTTTTGCAGTGCATATCAGGTTAAATCTGAACTTGATGATCTTCATTTGTTTCCTTGTAAAGCAAAGATTATCAGAGAGGATTCCTAACATGTTTCAACACATATGTACACACTTATTCTGTAAGAAGGGGGCGTCGGTGGGTCATGTATAACAAGATCAGGAGAAACCGGTCTGCTTGGCTCAGACTCCATTTGAGAGCAGAGCAGAAGGAGGACCAAAAATCTGGATCAGGGTGAGTGTTTACTCCATATTTGTCTTGTTTCCCTACTGTCTTGAGAGAGTTTATTCTCTTTGAGCTTTTTGGACCGCAGTGAATATTTTAAAACTCAATTTTTGCAGTTTAGTCAATCTGAAATTATATATTAGCTGTGAGAAGGAGGGGAGGGGCTTCATATGAGTCAGGCATGATAAGATCAGGAGAAACAGGTTATTTATTTGGCTTCACTGGCTTTAAAAAAAATATCCCTATTAAATACTTGTACTTGCATAACATGATAGGATTTTTTCTAAACACTCAGCCTCGGCAAAAACTAGGCTTATGGTCTGATTTTCAAATCATGCTATGTAAAAGAGCTCATCATTTGAACATCAATCATTTTTTGTCACCTTCCAGTGGTATTTTTGTGAGTCAAACTCAAAGTATTGCATAATTGGGAAGTGAAAGAAAACTGAGGTATGGTGTTATGATTTGCGACCAAAATATTCAGCAACCTTTATTTCAGTCTGGGTTGCACAGCTTTTGAAAGCTCGTAAAGTTGCAGTCATACATGTACCTTGTTTATCAGTGAGAAAAAATGTTCTGGAACCAGAAACTCATTTTCAGAGTAATTTCACTTAGAGTTCCTAGAAAGAGTTTGCTGAACCTTCTTTCAGAACAGATTTCATTTTCCAGACTGTAAATTAGTGACATCCGCCTTAGTCAATTCTGAAAATGATAATTAGCAGGAAGGAATCTCAATATTTTCTACTACTCAGTGTAACCAGAGAACTATACTGTGAAAAAAAAAACATCTCTAATTTACAGTAAAATACCAGCAGCTGTTGTTGCCATAATTTTACCGTATAAAAACGGTAAATTCCTGTAAAATTCTGGCAACCACAGCTGCCAGTATTTTACCGTAGATCCATCCGTCCATTCATTTTCTGTACACCCTTGTCCCTAGTGGGGTCAGGAGGGGTCATGTTGCCTATCTCCAGCGAAACATTTTGGGCGAGAGGCGGGGTCACCCTGGACAGGTTGCCAGTCTGTCACAATTTTAGTGTAGATTATACAAAAACTTTTTACATTGCACAGATTAGATGCTTCAGTTGTTGTTGCAAACCAACTGAAGCAGCTCTGTACAGCAAGATGGAGATGATTGAAGATGGAGAAACATTTGGTGCTCACATCAGTTCTCTTATTGTCAGGCTCTGACATGTCAGAGCAGAGCTGCAAGAGCAGCTGCTCAGACTTCAGTTGACTGCAAATCCATGTGCTCTGACATGTCTATGGTGATGTCTACACACAATGTCATAGTATGCCAATTTTTTTCAGAATTTCTCCCTACAGCAAACTTCAGTGTGAAAGCTGTACACTTTTGAAGGAGGCCTCTGATTAGATGAAAAACCAAGAGATTTTCTAACATATTTTCTTCTGATTTAAGTTGTAGGTCGAGATGTGCGAGGATGAAAAGCTTGCTGGCATCCTGGATGATATAGTTGATGATGAATTTCGTCGCTTCAAATGGCATCTAGAGAAAGAGACCTGGAATGGAATGGAGCCCATCAAAACCTCCAAGTTGGATAGGGCAGAGAGGCACGACGTCGTGGACCTAATGGTGCAGAAATACCAGTTTGCTGGAGCTGTAATGGTTATGGGGATTATTATGGAAAAGATCAACAGAAATGACCTGGTGAAGAAGCTCAGTGACCTGAGTCTTGAAGCTGCAGTAGTTGAAGGTCAGTAACAGACAGAAGGACTTCATATCCTTCTGAGCCCAAAACTGATCCAAAGGAGAGTCAGTTCTGGATTTCAGATGCTTGACCCAGAGGTACATAAGACAAGAAACCCGTGTTTCTTGTCTTATGTACCCCTGGTTTTATGTACCTTAGACCACATGATGGTGGCCTAAAGTCCAACAGAGTCCATTTACAATTCATGTAAATGGAGTCTACGAATAAGAGTGCATTTATTAATAGGCAAAGTTGTACAATTTTCCCTCTTTACATTTTTCATTTTCATGTCTGCCATTTTCGGTCTCAAGTTTCGTCTGAATTAAATTCTCATGGTCTGTAGTTGCAATGACCCCCTCGATTAAATAACTTGACATAAAAACAATAAATTTAGTCTGAGTCTTAATTTGCTGAATGTTTCCTCTTGTATCTTTGCTTCTTTGTTCAGATTTTGCTGGTCGGTGTCAACATGGCCATAAAGAATATCTGAAGAAGACATTCCAGTGTCTCCGTGAAGGCATTGCAGAAGCTGGAAAGAAAACCTTTCTAAATGATATCTACACAGAGCTCTACATCTTGGATGGAGGAACTGGACAGGTTAATAATGAACATGAGGTCAGACAGATTGAAACAGCAACCAGCAAACCAGGAAAAACAATACAACTAGACGACATCTTTAAACCCGAACCTGAAAAAAACAAACCAATCAGAACAGTGATGACAAAGGGAGTGGCTGGCATTGGGAAAACAGTCTTAACACAGAAGTTCACTCTCGACTGGGCTGCAGACCAAACCAACCAGAACATCCAGTTCATATTCCCATTCACTTTCAGAGAGCTGAACACATTGAAAGAGAAAAGGTTCAGCTTGGTGGAACTAATTCATAAATTCTTTATTAAAACCAAAGATGTCTGTGGCTTTGAACAGTTCCAGGTTCTGTTCATCTTTGATGGCTTGGATGAGAGTCGACTTCCTCTGGACTTCCACAACACAGAGATCCTGACTGATGCTACAGAGTCCAGCTCACTGGATGTTCTTCTGACAAACCTCATCAGGGGGAAACTGCTTCCCTCTGCTCTCCTCTGGATAACCACACGACCTGCAGCAGCCAATCAGATCCCTGCTGAGTTTATTGACATGGTCATAGAGGTCAGGGGGTTCACCGACTCACAGAAGGAGGAGTACTTCAGGAAGAAATTCAGAGATGACGAGGAGAAGACCAACAAGATCATATCCCACATCACAGCATCCCGAAGCCTTCACATCATGTGCCACATCCCAGTCTTCTGCTGGATCACTGCTGATGTTCTGGAGGATGAGTTGAAGAACAAAGAGGGAGGAGAGCTGCCCGTGACCCTGACTGAGATGTACATCAAGTTCTTGGTAGTTCAGATCAAAATCAAGAAGAAAAAGTATGACGGAGGAGCTGAGCAAGATCCAGACGTCAGCAAGATGGTTCAGTCTCTGGGAAAACTGGCTTTGGAGCAGCTGCTAAATGGAAACCTCATCTTCTATAAATCAGACCTCCAAGATTGTGGCATAGAGATCAAAGACGCTTCTTTCTCAGGAGTGTTCACTGAGATCTTTAAAGAGGAGACGGGGATGGGCAAAACCTCCGTCTACTCCTTTGTTCATCTGAGCATCCAGGAGTTTCTGGCTGCCGTCTACATGCTCCACAGTTTCACCACAAGGAACACAGAGGTAATGAAGATGTTCCTGGAAGAAGATGACCACTCATCTTTGTATTACTTCTTGACTTTTTTCATGACGTCCAAGAAAACAGACCATGGCTACTCACTGGATAAGTTCCTGAAGAAAGTCATGGAGAAATCCCTCAGCAGTGAAAATGGCTACCTGGACCTGTTTGTCCGCTTCCTTCATGGTCTCACTGTGGAGTCCAACCAAAAACACCTAGGAGGCCTGATGGGTCAGACAGAGAACAGCCCAGAAACGATCCAGAGAATCACCGACAATCTGAAGAAGATGAACACTGATGATATCTCTCCTGATAGAAGCATCAACATCTTTTACTGTTTGATGGAGATGAACAACCTCACATTTTGTAAGGAGATTCAACAGCTCCTGGAATCAGGGAAGAAACTCTCAGAGGTCCAGTGCTCAGCTCTTGCCTACACGCTGCAGATGTCTGAGGAGGTTCTGGATGAGTTGGACCCGGAGAAGTACAACACAACAGCAGGTGGACGACTGAGACTTGTTCCAGCTGTGACAAACTGCAGGAAGGCTGTGTGAGTCCAGATGTCTTCATGGTCTGAATGCTGATTTGGACTTGCTGTCCTCATGTTTCTTCTTCATTCTTCAAGAGATTGCTTCTGGGCATTTTTTTGGCCTTTAACATCTTCCTTCACCCTTTGGACTATTTCAACCATTCAAATATCTTAATGTTCTGCTCATCCAGGACAGCACTGTTGCAGCGTTTGGTACTTAGAGGTTTTTTTTTTTAATCATTTTTTAAAATATCCCACTTTTATCAGTTCTTGTGTTGAAATTAATAGAAAATGCTGACAACTCAAGAAAATCTCTGTTTTATATGAAAGATCCAATCATCCAGAGACATTTTTTAAACTTCTAACCCCTCTTGACTCACTGGGCTGCTACCACATGATTCACCTCTTAGGATCTTTAGCTGTTTTTATAAACTCTTTGTTTAGGTTTTTATGGAAACTTGGACATTACGATTTCTTCTAACCCCCAACCCTTTGTTTCTTTGAGACAATGGACAGACCACTATAGATGCATGTTATCATATTTTATTGTGTGTTTATAACGGATTGTGTGATTGTAAATACAACTTAGTATTTCTTCTCTAATCACAGACTTGGTGGCTGTTGGCTCTCGGAGACTGAATGTGAAGTTGTGGCCTCAGCTCTGCAGTCCAAACGCTTCCATCTGACTGAACTGGAAATAAGTCAGATCTGCAAACTGAAAGACTCTGGAATGAAGCATCTGTGTGAGATCCTGGAGAGTTCAGCCAGCATAGTGAAGTGTTTGAGGTTTGTGTTCTCTATTTCTCCAATAAAATCAATCACGGATATTTTAACATGTGTAATGAATAATTTTATTCTGATGCATTATCTTTTAAAACAATATGTTGTCAGAATAGTATTTCTAAAATGCTTTACCTCACAAATGAATTATTTTTTATTATATCTGACTTTCAGACTGTTGAACTTTATTTTTCTCACATTAAAATGCTTTTGCCTGATGAACAAAACTGAGGAATATAAGACAGTGTCTTCCAACACTTATTGTCATCAAGTAACCTGTGTATAATGTGTACAGTATGCTGGATTGGAAGATTAATGCTTAGGTACATCAGTGTTAAGGGGGACATCTAGAAAGGTTAAAGTTTTCCACCAATCCATGGAAAACGGATGAGGAGAAGACAGAGCACCAACCATACAAGCCTGATGTAGTACTTCACCACCACATCATCTTTTAAGAAATGCTCCTCCATTTTTTGTCCCATAAGTAAAAATGAGCTTCCAGTGATTTGGATGCAGATAAATAATGATTGCTGTAGAAACTTAGTCCAGACGTTGTTGTCTTGCACACCACAGGTGACTTAACGATAGATAAACTACATCAGTCAGCCCATTCTCCTCTGACATCAGTTCATCATGTTTCTATGATTTTTACATGCAGTGAATTTATTTAATTTCTACATTTGTATTGTTTTTTTGTTCATATTTCAGTTTTTACCTGCATCCTGTTGGCTTAACTATTTTCTTTGTTCAGGTTGGAGAGCTGCTGTTTGTCAGAGACCAGCTGGTCATCTCTGTTCTCAGCTCTGAAGTCCAACCCGACCCATCTGACAGAACTGGACCTGAGTGGCAACACAGACCTGAAAGATTCTGGAGTGAAAGAGTTCTGTGGTTTCCTACGTACTCCTGTCTGCATAATACAAAAACTGAGGTCAGAAACCATGTTTTAGTTTAGAGCTGATGTTTCTTATGTGGAAACTTTATCTTTGTCCACTTTCACCAATGGACAAATGTTGTTTTCTTGACCATTTGTGTTATTACCCCCTTGGCGAGTTACTGGAAAAGGCTCTGGAAGCTACTGGTTGCTAGTTAGTGATGTGGTGGAGATCTCTGGTGTAACATTGAGGAAGACTTCTGTGAATAATTCAGGAGGTGGAGAACCTGTTGGCTTTAAATGTCTGATCACCTCCTGCAGAGATGACAGTCACAGGTTCAAAGCTGTCAAAGACGACAAAGCAGGACACCAAGACGTATCTGGGCCTCTGTGCAGGTGACTCTCTCAATAAAATGCTGCAAAACGTTTCACCTGCAGCAGGCCAGGGTTCAGTCCGGTCTGTACAAATAAAACCCGAGGATCGTGACCATTTGACCCATCACATCAGAGACGTGTTTTCTTTTGATGTCCTTAACGGTTTTTAGCAACGATGCCAGCAATCCTTTAATATTTGAACTGACACCTATGATGGGTCCGTCTTCCACAGGTTGCCATAGAAACTTAGTGCAGATGTTGTTGTCTTAGCCACAACAGTTTGATATATAATGTCAACCAGCCCATTCTCCTCTGACATCAGTTCATCATGTTTCTGTGATTTCTACAATCAGTGAATTTATTTCTTTTCTACATTTTTTATTAATTTGTTCATATTTCAGTTTTAACCCGCAATTTGTTGACTTCAGCTCATTTGTTTTAATCTATTTTCAGACTGCAGGACTGCGGGTTGACAGAGATCAGCTGTGCTTCTCTGGTCTCAGCTCTGAGGTCCAACCCGTCCCATCTGACAGAACTGAACCTGAGCCTCAACTACGGCCTGAAAGATGCCGGAGTGAAGGAGCTTTGTGGTTTTCTCCAGACTCCTTTCTGCAAAATAAAGATATTGAGGTCAGAAGCCATATTTTTAGTTTAACGCCGATATTTCTGATGTGAAATTTGTAGGCATATGGCGGATATTTTTGTGATCTACACCGAGGCTCTCCATGGAAAAGTTTGTTTCTTCTTCTTCTCTGGCTTGGTCCGGTTAAAGTTTCTTTGTTGTTAATAAAGCACAAGCAATTCATCTTCCCAACATCATGTTCAACCAGTCACAGCGCTAATTTCACAGGCATTAACCACGTCTGCAGAGAGAAGGTCAAAAGTTATTTTTTATTTGGATAAAACAATAAAAAAACAATTGGATATTTCTTTGTTCATGTTTCAGCTGTATCCTGTTGATTTCAGCTCACGCGTCTTATTCTGTACTCAGATTGAGCAGCTGCAGCTTGTCAGAGGTCAGCTGTGCTTCTCTGGCCTCGGCTCTGAAGTCCAACCCGTCCCATCTGACAGAACTGAACCTGAACTACAACAAACGCCTGAAAGATGCTGGAGTCAAAGAGCTCTGTGGTTTCCTACAGAGTCCTGACTGCAAAATACAAAAACTCAGGTGCAAGCTTATTTCCCTTCATATCTCAGTGAATACTTTGGTATAATTAATTTGAAAAACAAAGGTCATGTCTTCTGCTGTAATACATATTTTTCCTGAATTTGTTCCTGGACTTGGAGCTAAGGTTTAATTCAGTCCCTAAAGTCAGTTTTACATTAAGTGTTCTTCGTGACGCCATGTCTTTGTGGCTGTGCAATAATTAATGTATCTGCATTAATCTACATTTGTTCGCATTTCCTCTGAAATTTCCCCTAATTTCTTCACTTTCTGTAAAACAATGTAATAATTTGGCTGCAGAAGCTGAGTTTGTATCGACGCGTACGCTGGTGGAGCTGATATTTTAAGAGTTGAAGTCTTTGTGAACGCAGCAGCATGATGTCATTGATATTAAGTAGCGATCTTTAACTGGTTCTGTTGGACTGTCTTAACCTGCGTCTGGTTGGCTTCAGCTCACGTCTTGTGTTGTTTATTCAGTCTGGTGAACTGCAAGCTGTCAGAGGTCAGCTGTGCTTCTCTGGCCTCGGCTCTGAAGTCCAACCCTTCCCATCTGAAACGACTGGACTTGCTGTCGAACAAACTGAAGAGGTCAGATGTTCAGCAGCTGAAGGATCTCGTAGAGACTGTAAGGTCAGTAGATGGTTGTGAGCGAGTCCGGCTACGGTCAGCAGTACTGAACCAAACCCAGTCCAAAGCATCAAAGCGACGCTGCAGTGTTTCCAGTAAAGCTGCATGCTGAATGGCGACATGCCAAGGAGATAGAATCTTGTTGTGTTCCTGTTTCCAGGAATTCAAGCTCGGTATCAGCTGCCGGTTTTTCAGCATGTCTCCAGACTGCGTGCTCGTAATTGTTCAATCTGTAGTAGCATCTCAGATCTGATCTAAGACTGTTTGTTCTCCCTGTTCAACAGAAACAAACTGATAAAGTTTCATGTTTGTCCCTGCTCTGAGATCAGTCTAAGTGACTCTTATTTCACAAACCGTCATTACGTTTAGCCACCAGGTGGTCTTTCTGCTGAAGTCCACTCGTCACAGCTGGACATTTGTCCTTCTGTCCTTAGTTTCATCCAGACGTGTTCAGGGACAGCCTCCGTGTTTATTAGTCAGCTGATGTTTCAACGTGTTCACCAGCAGCAGAGTGTGTGTGTGTGTGTGTGTTTTGGATGGAGCAGCAGGAAATCCCTCACCAAAGTGTTTGTGAAGCAACGACGCCTTCGTGAACCTCAGCAGTTTATTTCCTCTGTTTACTTGAATGGAGCCGTCCGAGGACGCTAAGTGTGTGTACGTGTGTGTGAGCTTGGAGTTCATTGTGTTCACTCCAGCGTGGTAAGATGAGAGCTGAAGGTAAGGTTTCCTGGATGAGCTGCATCAGTGACTGTGAGCTGATGACGAGAGGCTGGAAGCGCTCACCGATCTGCTGCTCCTTTCTTCTCTCTGCAGGGCGTAGTGACCTCGGAGAAAAGAGAGAAGCATCGCTGTGTCCTGACGATCCTCCTGATGACCTGCTTGAAGAGGCAGTTTAAGAGAGATTCACGATGATGAACTTTGAGATGAAAGATTTTTATTTTTTTTATCCTGTTTATTTTCTCATATCTGTTGTTAAAGTTTCAAAAACGTTCTGATTAAGGAGACGTGAGTCGACTGATTCCATCTCATCAGAGCAGATGGTACAGATCCAGGCTATGTTCTAACATCTTAGTTAGTAATATTCTTAGTTATATACCGCAGTTATCAAACACGCGATCGATTCAAGAAGTGGTTCGCCAATTTTGCTTGTGAATCAAAAACAAATGGCAAAACGCTGCTGTTTCACCTGTCACATTTTCTTATTTTAGGATTTTATTGCATGTGCGTTTGCAATTAATTTGCGCACCTTTGTGCGATGCAACCTTAGGGATGATTCCTCGAATGACTCGAGTTCCTCAATTATGAAAATTCCTCGAGGAAAATGCATCTGCCTCGAAGCTTTGTGTTTTATTATTTAGCGCACCGTGTTCCGGCCGGGTCATTATTTGTGTTGGGCAGCGCTCTCACTTCTCCTTATGAGTTGTTGCTAAGCGTTAGCAGCATAACGTCAGATTTTCTGGGTTTTTATCGTTTTCTGTGGGACCTATAAGCATTTTTAAATGAACTGGCGTGACGGCCTTTCTCCTCCTGTGACTCCATGTTTCGAGAGACATGGATTTTTCCACAGTATTCTATTAATAACAGTGATCGCTGCAGTACTCAATTACTAAAATATTCCAGTCCTCGGACCCTCTCCTAAGGTTCACACATCACATAGTAATAATAAATCATTATTTGTCAAAAAAAAAAGTACAAAACAACATTGAGGAACCTGTATTCTAATTTCCTTCTTCTGATGGTTTCAAATGTGAAGTGTCAAATGAGCTGTAATGTGTTTTTGACTACTGACAAAGCGCTTCATCTGTGCCCTGCGAACCTGAGCACAGTAAAGGTTTTTATTTTTAAGTTATAAAAAAATAAGTCCCCAAGGTTTGCAACAAGCTTGGGATCCTCCATTGTTTGATATGAACAGATTAAGTCTATAATCAGAACTGATGCATTAGTATCACAGACATGTTGTGCTTGTTTATTCAGTTTAAGGCGTCACGTTGTTTTCACTTGGCCTGTTTTACATGCGTCGTTCTCTCCATGTCGCAGTGGAAGCGAATGAAGCGCCGCGGCGCGTCGGCTCACGAGGAAAACCTCAGTGCTTCATGAAGCTTCATCTCGCCATCACTGCTGATATTGTTTCTCTTTGGATCGATGAAGATTGCGTTCAAAATCAGCTCCACTTTGTGGCTTCATGAGTTTTGGTCTGAACTTGATTCAACTGGAAAGTTTCTCTCTGATTTATTTTCAGCTTGCAACTAAAACAAGTGGAATAAAACTCGATTCAACAGTTTCCAGGCTGCAGTTTTCTTCATCCTCATGCAGTTTTTAGACGGTTTTTTCATAATATTTTCTATAGATGTTTGGTCACTTTATCTACTGCTGCACTGAGCTCAGTGACTAAATGATGGTTTATTAGAGAGATGCAGCTTTTTTGATTATTTTATATCAAACATTTTTTATTTTCTTCTTTATGAAGGTTAACATCTAAAACGTAAAAATAAAGTTTATTGCGCTTCAGCATCTCCTTTACTTGCATTGGAAACATTTTCTGGAGCAGCTCAGAGATTTTTGTACCCAAGAATCAGATCTTTATGAAGCATCTAAGGTGCTATTCCAGGCATTGGTCACTAGGGTGCACCAAAGATCCTTCTCTGAATCCAAACCTGCTGCAGTTTCTGTGGTCGTTCCTTTGGTCACCGCTAGTTCACCTGCAAACATCCATCTGGCTTAAGGCATAAGAAATTATTTTGAAAAGCTTCAATATTTTAGTGAAAGGCTCCAGGAAGGAAGATCATAGCGGCATTCAGGAGGAACATGAGATTAAAACATCACCTGATCCACAAAGGTTAGATCAGACAGCCAGCATTAAACCTTTGGTCAGGGTCAGGGGTTACGGTTAGGAGCCAGCGCCTGAGAGGGAAGCCACTGCAAGAGTACATCAGGCCCGAACAGTTTGAACTTCTTTTGTAATCCTCCCCTAATGGATCCTGTCTTGACGGATTAAAGCACATATGTCAAACTTAAGGCTCGTGGGCCAAAACTGGCCTGCCGTGGCTTTTTGTGTGGCCCTCAAGACTCCAGACGCTAAATTACATCAAACAGTCCACCCAGTTTTCTGTTATTTATTCTGTGATTGTGGAAATTCACGGAAAATCAACAGGTTCCCACATTTTTTCCCCGATAATGCATAACTGTAAGTTTATTGCAAATTTTCCGCAAAAAAAATCCATTGGGTTTAACTGACTACTAACTCCCACCTGTAGGTGGCAGTATGTTGTACTTTTGCGACACCGCTGCCTCAGCCTTATTTGACATCAAGTTATTAATTTGTCCATCATCGACACCAACGATTAACAAACTCACAAGCGCCATACATAAACGCAAATATTGCTAAATTCCTTGAAACTATTTCTTCACTAGTTCCACAAAACTAGTTAATTGCAAAAACAAAACAAAATAAAACAAAAAAAATTGCAAAATCATGAAGGGACTGAGCAATATGAGGAGATGTTTAATTTTAAAAAGTACTTCTAATATTCAGAGACAGGTATTTATTATTATTTTAACAGTTTATAATGGGTTTTATCAATACATTCTGGCATGACCGGCCCTTTAAGAACATTTATTATCTTGATCTGACACCAAAACAAAAATGAGTTTGACACCCTTACATTAACGCATCTGTTGTACAGAATCACATCCAAAGTATGTAAGTGTTTGCAGTGATTAAGGAAGAATGGTTATGTCTCATCTTTGGGAATATTTAGTTCCATTTTTTATTTTTATTTTTTTGAAATGCCTACGATACAATCTCAAAGATGGCAGAAGGTCACCATAAATGTAGAAAAAAAAAGATCAGAGCAGAGAAGCAGAGTTTAGGATGTTTAATACAATAAATGACTGTACAGCAGACACACACACACACACACTCTCTCTCTCTCTTTGTGTCTCGCTCGGCCTCCCATCCCAACATACTGTAACACAAAGAGCCAAGGAAACACAACGACCACAGCAAACATCGCATGAACAAACACAGTGATCTACAGAGTCTTCACTTGGCTTAGCGCTGGCTCTCTGGCCATTCATGTGGAAACCAACAATGACCTCATCGCCGTGGTAATACTGCGGCGCTCCCGTCATTTCTCACAGTCAGCAGCTGCAACGGTAACACAGAGAAGAGAAACTGCCCAGACGACGAGCTGCTGTTTTAAAGGAGTAGTCTGGTTATTTTCAGATGACTGAGTCACCGTTATTGAACCGTCTCCATGCGGAGGGCTCGTCTCTACGGTTTATACAAGCATGGCACAGATCATAATATTATGCTATGGACACATTGTCCTGAAGAACAAGAAGACATTCCGTGCTGCGGAAAACATCTCATGAAGAAGACAACGCAGTAAAATCCAGACCACCTCGCTGTTGCTGCTCTGCTCCCCACCTGGACTCACAGCAATCTGTGTTGCCAGAGTGAAGCGTTACTTTGACAGCACAAAGCGCTTAGTGTCATCCCAGGAAGAACTAACGGTGTTGTGACAACGGCTGGGTCTCTAACCAGAGAGACGCAAGATAAGAACCTAGGGCTGGATGGATTCTATTGAATTCAAGATGGTGTCAAACAGCCACGTTTATTTTTATGAGTTGTTAAAATAAATGAATGTCTGAAGCGTCGCCTAAATTGTTCAGCTCTTACATTGCTCTTCTTCGTTTAAGGCAGTTGTCATGGATCAATGGACGAAGGACTCAAACTGAGGCTCACAATCAGACAGACCAGTATCCGATGACAGAGAAGTTTTTATTTGACTGAGACAAAGACAGATGCAGAAAGTCCATAAATAAAAAATATAAAGAACATCTGAATGAGAGACAATTTAAAATAAAGGAACACAGGAGGAAAGCATGGATATGAGAAGAGAGGACAGAGTAACGCCCGTGTACTCTGGATAATAAAGTAGAGAATGAATTTCGGGAAGGCAAGGGTTAAGTGAAAGCAGGGCCGCGTGTGAAGGGTAGCAGAAATTAAACAACATCTTAGGACATGAAACACAAAACAAAAACTGAGATGTGTCATCTGAAAAAGCTGCTGAGCTCAAGATCAACTGGACTTTTAAAGGTCGCGAATGAAAATCCCACAAAGGTCACCGAGATGACGTGAAACGGACAAAAGCAATAAATAAAATTCCTTGAAAATGAACCACTGAAAATCAGACGTTTCTTCTCAATCGTGTTTCAGCAGAATCGTTTCAAAAAGCCGACCAGTGAAACATGCCTGGTCAAAAATGATGGTACCTGCAACTTCATATTTTTGCTGCTCAACTTTTTAAGGTAACGACTGCAATCAATCTCTGTAGGCGTAAGCGAGGCTTCTGCACCCGTCCACAGGGATTCTGCCCCATTCCAGGGCAAACTGTCTGAGGTTTGAAGGGCGTCTTCTCCCGATGGCGTAATTCAGCTCCTAGACGTCCTATTGAATGTAGAAGGACAATCAGAACAGTCCAATGTTTTGCTCCCAGCCATTCTTGGGGGTTTTCAGCTGTGTTTTGTGTCACTATTGTGTTGGAAGACACTAGGCAGCGTATTTCTCTCCAGAACGCTCCCTTGAGATTTAATTTTATTCTGCACAGATTTCAGAGGAAGCAAAGCAAAGCAGCCCAGAACATAACCCAGCCTCCTCTATGTTTGACAGCAGACTTTGCTCTTTTCTAGCTCTGCTTAATTTTTGTGTGACTGAACAAACAGCCGATATGTCCTGTGAAAAAGCTCAAATTTTGTCTCATCTGTCCAACGGACATTCTCCCAGAAGCTTTATCAATATGACAAAAACGTCTCCACTTGTAATATTATTCACATTTTGTTAATCTATTGAGATGGAGAACCCAGAGGAGTTGAAAAGCAGGCTACACGGATGCTGAGCAGGACCTAAGAGCGAATGAGGAAGTTAAAACTACGTCTATCGATCACAATACACAGCTATTAAACCTCAGACTTCACCGCGTCGGACCGTGCTGCCATAAAGACCTTTAAAGAGGAGCGGCAAAAGCAAAGGAGGTGGATTAGTGGTGCTTTTCAACAAGCGATGGTGACATGCAGGACATGTTATTGTGAAATATGATCTCTGCTGCCTGGAAGTTGAACTGTTAGCATCTTAGCATAGCATCGCTGTCATGAGCCTGTCGTACAGCCACAGCCTTCAGTCGGAGGCCTCTTCTGATTGGCTGTAAGACTTGATTTGATTCAATTTGATCCCTCCTGCCACATGGATGATATGAGTTACAATATTTTTTTTTTTTTAATTGAATTAGAGAACCAAAGTTCCTACACGATATTGAAATGGAAATCGGGTAAAGTGGTGGCGAACGTTGGCAGACGTCGAGGCCTGAAGAGTAAATAAAAGTAATTTAAGGAATTTAAAAGCCTGTTTGCGTCAGCATACTTACATCGACTTCGTTTACTTTGATTCGACGAGCATCTCAACACACCAAGGTCTTCCGTCGCAGACGCGGAGGTGTGACTGGGTGAATGCGACATACCTGAGAAAGTGAAGTTGGAGCAGAGAGCAGAGCAGCAGCGACGCCTCACTCCCATCACGGATCACTGACGGCGCCCAAACAAAACCACACGCCCGCCGATGTCACCACCACGGCTGCTTCTTAACAGCTTCGTGTTTCATTCATCCTGATAAACGACGTTTTGTCTGCGGTAATCGTGAACGGGGATTCGCCAACCATCACACACTCTTTGGTTTTCCCGACAATTTACCTCTGAGCCTGACAGAAAATGAACCAGGAAGCTGCTAAGAAGCCATGATCTGATGGGGGGGGGATGGTCACTCCAAAGTATGATTTATCCACATTCACTTGTAAACAGATAATCTGGAGGTCCTCTGGGGGCCACCGAGGGGCCACTGAGTCAGCTTCTTTACACAGAAGAGTCTAAACCCTAGTGGTTACTGCAACCGAGCTGCCTGTTGCCATGGTGATCTGCCAAAGTCAGATTAATAGAGGACTTGTAGTTTCGCGTCATCAGGCGTTTTCAGGCACTTTGTCATCCCCCTCTTCCTCCTCTGCCCCTGCAGAAAGTTAACGCGGTAGTGTGTGAGTTTTCATCCACACCAGGAGTTAAAAAAGCTTTTTTCTGTCACGTCGTCTTCATACCGTTCCAGGTCAGGTGGTCCGCGGCCGTGTGGTCAGGTGATTCATCATCGCACTTTTCAGCTGGAGCGCAATCGTCTGAGTTCGGCGCCGGATCTGTGACGCCGTGGCCGGGCGAGGCCTGGGACGGGACGTCTGAGCCGATGTCTTCACCTTCGTTTTTCGCCTCGGTCTCCTCTTTCTCCTTCTTGGCCAGCTCTGCTCCGGGAGTAAAGACACAATCAACGAGGTCAACGAGAAGCGTTCTAAAAGCTAAAAGTCAGAACTCTGCAGGTTCAGAATAACCCTGGGCTGCCATGAAATGATGACCGGAGCAGAAACTGCTTGCATCTTCGATTACACCAGGCAGCAGCGCTGATGAATGAAATGCAGCCCATCGGTCAGCAGTGATTTCTGAATCTGTAAGGAAGCCTGGTACAGCTTATGACACCAACTTAAAATATTTAACAATGCTTGGATATTTTTTTTTAATTCTTAACAGTGGTATTCGACAAGTGGATTCGGTTGCTACAGTAACTGTGGGAGGGGCCTAAGAGGACGTCTGAGTGGTCCAAATGTCCATGAAATGTCCTGGCTAAAAAGAACTTCAGTTCTGTTTGTGTCTAGAGTAAAATGTTTTGTTTTTTTCTAAATCTAACAAGATAAATTGTGTTTTTTTGTTCCCTTAACAATCATTAAACAAACAACATTGTGTAGTTTTCCATCAGTTTTTAGGCCAAAACAAGTGTTTGTTCTCGCGCCTGCTTACCGTGCACAGACAGCTCCTTCCATCGATCTTTGTTGCTGGCGATGACGCTGGAGAGGTGGTGCCTCAGAGCTGGCAGGTCAATGGCCGTCAGGGAAAAGTTCATCTGTCCGTCGTCGGTGTTTCCATGGCGATTACTGCTGTGTCTCTGCACCGACTCCACAGTGACTGAACCGCTTCCTGTTAGGCTGAATGAAAGCAGCGTCGTGCAGAGCATAAGTGAGGTACCGATAAATTGTTCGCATCCACCAAGAGCATTCGGGGAACATCGACACGGAGGAAATCTTACAAGCAGCTTTCATGTGCATGTTGAGATGCATGACAGACAGTCGACTGGATTAATGATTAAGAATATCACTGGTCATACTGATGCCTTGAAACCAACCGTGAGAACTACGAGGGCTACTTCTGATCCTGCAGAACTTTATTTTCATAAAGCTACACGGCAAGAACACAAAATCTTACCAAGTATTTTTATCACTTGAAATAAATCAAAACTAACTTACAAGCAACTTCTCAGTAAGAGATAGGAGATTTTTAATAATTCCTATATTTGTTAAATTACTTATTTGGTTTTTGAGTAAATAATGATGAAAAAGTACCAGCTCCATCGGCAGATTACATCATCTATAACAAGACCTTTTTCTCATACACTGAAATAATCTGCCAATGCAGCTAGTACTGTTTCATCAATATTAAGGAATTATTTTCTCAAGACCCAAATTTCAAACATTTTATGCTTCAGAGAGATCATTTTTAAAGATTTGAGACTAATAAAAATGATAGATATGATTTAATGAGACTCATATAATCATATTACACACTAATCCCAGCCAGCATGCCTAGGTGGGACCCATGTGGGGACAAGGAGGGCAGACTATATGGGTCCCATATGGGTTTGTCCGCGGGTTCCACGATGGCCCCACATGGGTTTGCCCATGTAGGGCCACAGCCCACATGGGTGCTACATGGGCCCTAATTGGACAAAACCCATGTGGGCCACCACCATATAGGGCCCATGCAGGGCCCATGTGGGCTCTGGCCCTACATGGGCAAACCCATGTGGGGCCATCGTGGAACCCGTGGACAAACCCATATGGGACCCATATAGTCTGCCCTCCTTGTCCCCACATGGGGCCCACCTAGGCATGCTGGCTGGGAATGTTACCCATGCGTCTTGTGCAAGCCTAGACACCATCCTATTTAGCGAATAATAAAAGGGAGAAGCTGATAGCTGCTGGCACAGTGTTTAGAGTCAAGTAATTGGATTTCCTGTGGAACAAAAGACTTCCTAATTCTGTCCGTTGAACTTCTCAGAGACTGAACGTTTCCCTCTGCTTGGTGAATGTGCTGAGTCAGAGTGGTTCTCCGAGCCGTTTCCTCATGCTCCTTGGAGGATTTCTTCTCCATACCAGCCACAGAGACAGTCTGTCCAGTCCTCCACCGCTCCCTTCTTAATGGTTCATGCTCTCCTAGTTCTTGCTAATCAGTCAACCCAAACCTCTTACAGATTGAAACCACGGTAACTCCTCCAGACTCCTCCAATCCAAAAATCAGCGTCTATTTTTTGTGGTGTTTATCAGCAGGAGGTCAGACTAGAATCAATCCTCACATCCCACTACCAGTTCTCTGTACTTTATCTCACATCCATCCTTGTTACGTAACAAAGTAGCATTGTCCAAAAACGTTTCGCTTACTGTCATGATCCATTGTTTGTAACTAAAGTCGGATGTGTGGAAGGAAGAAGGAGTGCCTAAAGTACGTTGCCCTGAGGTGCACCAGTGGAGCTGACCGCAGTCTCAGAGAAGCCGTGTGGTCTCTTGGTGAGGTAATCTGTTTTCCCTCATCTTCCAGACCTTTACTCTGGAGCTGGACGGTACTGAGACCAGCAGAAACCAGAGCATGTGACCCCAGCAGCACCAATCCCCTGCTCTGTGCAGTCGGTTCATAATCACCTTCTCCAGTGTCATTAAAAACATAATCAGTGCAGTTTACTGCTTTCTGCTGTTACAATTCCCCGTTGTTCATCATTAGTAATGTCACTGAAAACGGTGTTACTACCTGGACCTTCTGTTTCCACTCTCTTTGGCCTTCCTGTCTTCTTCTATCAGCGGTCCGATCACCTTCTCTGTTGTGTCAACCAGGACAGTGAAAGTGGGCTCCACGATAAAGTCTATGAAACCTACAACCAGAGAGGCAGATGAATGAGTGAATGCATTAGCATTAGCATTAGCATTAGCATTTCTTTATAAATGTGATAGACCGAAGCACGGAGCAGGATCAGGTTGGTACCTATCTGTGACTGGGCGATCATGGTGGCTTTGCGGTCACAGAGGGGAGAGAAAGGAAGACCGAGTTCCACCTCTTTATCTCCCTAAAGAAGAAACAAAATATGAAAGTTGAGGAGTTTTTTTTAGGTTTTTTCCTTTTTTATTTTTTTACACTCTCAAATCCGCTCTGTGTGCTTTTTGAATCAATTTCAAACCAACCTTGACAAACGATGCAAACAAAACATAAGCAGGCAGCTTTTGAACCTCCTGTCTCTAACGGTGCGTTCACACCAAACGCGTTGGGTGCATTAAAAATGCATCCAACCCTTCATAGTTTGATGCGTGTGCACTTTGAATGCAGACGCTGGACATTTAGCTCTACACCTGGCGCTTCGCACGTCTGGTTTACATTCAAAGTCTATGTGGAGGCGAGTCGAGAGCGTATTGAGGGTGCGTTAGACGCTCTAGCCGTTGTTTTCCGTTGCCAGTCTATTTGTAAGACACGCAGGACACGTTAGACGTGCCTGATGCGTTAAATCCTCCAAGCGCTTCAAATTACACCGCAACGGGGTCTCAACGCACCTCCACATAGACTTTGAATGTAAACCAGACGCGCCCGATGCGTTTAGTATGAACGCACCAAAGGACGCAAAATCAGTTGCTGCCTCCTTTCCAACACACTAAGCTATGATTTCTTAAGAGTTCATTTCTGACTTTGTTTTAGATCTGACAACAGAAATGGAAAAATAAAAACATCTGAGTGACGAGGTTTATCAAGATTTTTTGTAACATTGTCCTTGTTAAAATACAGATACACAGATGAAGATAAGATGGGTGGAACTAAATCGCATATTCTGCATGATGATGTAATTGAAATGCAAACTTAAGAAATAACTTCAAACAAAGTTGGTAGACGGTTTTTAGGTTTTCAAACTTAATCTGGAGAAAATATGATGGTATTGATGTGAATTTAGCATAAAAACACTGGCTCACTGTTTAGAGGTAAGTAATTGGATTGCCTGCGAAACAAAAGACCTCCTAAATCTGCCCGTTCAAGCTCAGCCACTCAGGGTTTCCCCCTGTGTATTATAAGCCTGGCGGGCTGCCAGGATTTACATGCCCTCAGGACTAAGCTCGTTCAATTTGTGCTTAGTCCTGGGGACTGAGAGAACTTGGCAGCTCAGGTTTCAGGAGAAGCAAGACATCAAACTGTGCACCTGTCTGAAGAACTCTTCCATCAGGCTGTGAGTCCAGTGGTAGTGCAGCGGCCAGGCTTTGGCAGGATGACTGATGTCTGCTGCGTGAAGCATCAGAGATAAAACCTTCACTTTGTCTATACTGGAGACAGACAAACAACAAAGATTTAGTAGCAGCGTAAAAGGCACAAACTATTTCAGAAATAGCTTTGTTATTCCTGAACCACAGCTCAGTCTAAAAAGAGACAGCCAGCCGTATGCTAGGTAAAAGCTGCCGGGTGTTTTCTTTTGTATTGTCAGTGCTGTTTACAGAGAGTACAGTCAGCCTCAGAAACACAGGCAGAATCAGCATGCTGACAGGCTGATGACAGCGTCTTCCCCCAAAATCCCATCCAAGCGTGAGGTGAAGAGCGTGACAGCCGCCTCCCTCCGCACCTTCTGCAGCACTGACAAACAGAGAGAGAGAGGCAGGAGCCGGACCGGTCGGACTCAGCGCTAATCCTGTGAAACTCTCTCTCTGAGCGGAGCCCCTACAGGGACATACTGGCCAATCTGGTCCTGGTCCAGCAGCCTGCAGGACCTTATGTTGGGCCGTTGCACCAAACTCCCACTGTTGATCTAGTCGTGTCCGTCAGATGGACCGGCCTCACACGTCTTCCAGGAAGCGGCGTTCACGACGGAGGATCTAAATTTGGAAACTTGACTGCTGATGAATCTGAATTGGGTCCTAAAGGAAAAGTATTTCCTGTCCACGCAGGAGGAAAACTGTGGACCTTTTCTAAAAGCTCTGTCATGACCCGTGTTTTTCTGTAGTTATTTTGGGATTTTCTGTGTTTAGTCCCGTTTCCCTGAGTCTCTGTGCTGTCCTCTCAGCCCTTGATTGTTCCCAGGTGTGTCTCGTTCCCTTGATTACCCCGTGTGTATTTAAGTCCACATGTTGTCTTTGTCTCTTGTCGGTCCTCGTCAAATGTATGTCTTATGTCAGTTGTTGTCTACTGCGTGCTTGCCAGTTGAACTGTATAGTCCTGGTTAGCTTAGCTCTCGTTATTCAGTCTTCAGTTGCTACCGGTAATTAGCTGCATGCTAACCTCTCTGCCTTGCTGCCTGTCATCCTGGACTGAGCTTTTGTTCATCAATAAATCACCATTTTCATCTACATCCTGGGTCTACCTGCGTCTCTCCTCTCCACCGCAAACCCCACTTCCTGACAAGCTCGTTTCAAAGCCGTTGTGCAGTATTCACAACTAGCCCCACACATTTCAGGCTGTTTCAAGAAGCGTCAACACATGAAATGGCAAACTTTTTGCTGAAACCGTCATGCAGACCCAGTCACTGGTATAGAAGCATTATAAGGTTTTTTGTTTAACCCTTATGACCTAAGTTTCAAATATTGGATATTTTTGCTTACACAGTTTCAAAAGTATAGTTTGCAACTATCAGCAACACATCAGTTAAATAGTGCTAATAAATACTTTATACTCGCAACTTTTACTATGTTTCATATGCGACCACATAGAAGTGCGAGAGCTAGAGACCTAGAGCACCCCCTTGTGGCTGACTGATGAAAAATGTTCAAAATATGATGCAAAATATTAAGAATTTTTGTATGTGTCTATAACTACAATTTAACATGAGGATTCTTTAAAAAAAAAAAAAAAGATAATGTCTGGTGACGTACTGACCCGTTTGTCTGTGTCACGGTGTTCCTCATGGTCTTGATCTGCTGGAAGTGGCAGGACATGTCTGTGGACATCACCATCTCTATCACCAGAGCCCTCAGCTCCCTGCCGGAAAATCAACACCATGAATCCCTACCGATCAGTTTGAGACAGACATATTCTCTGGAAGAGCTTGAATGTCATTTTCATCAGTTTTTGGTTGGTCGACATAATCTTTGGAGAAAAAAAAAAGAAAAAGCTTCTGATTCCCAAACATGGGCCCTGTTTGCGTCTGGCCACCACAAAAAGCATCAAAGTGCAGGTAAAGCCGTGAAGGTACAGCAGAAACGGTGACCACGACTTCAAATGTGAAATTCCATTTTAAGCGTTGCACACATCTCCGTAAGCGTCTGAAGCAACCACCTCTGCCGTGGACGACTTTGGAAAACACAAAGAACAGCAAACACAACATGAGAGAAACGGCTGCCACACAGCGATTCGCTCTTGATGATGTTCATGTCTAAACTGGTGAAATCTGGTTTGAAACATGTCAGGAAGTCTGTATTTGAGTTTAGGCAGACGACCGTCTACAGTCGTGTTGCTGTGACTTGTTTACAACTCACAACGGACCAAACTCAATCAAATGGCTTCTCTCTCTTTGAGGACCAATAAAATTTGTTTTGCTGTTCAAACCTAGAAAGTGTCTGAGCTTCAGCAGACATACGGAATAACTGAGCGGCAAGATGACGCAGCATATGTGCCTGCTGGATGTTTTAGTTTGTGTTCAAATGAACTGGTGCACATCTGCTGGTCAGGCTGGAGGCTGGGAGGATGCGGGAACGTTCATTATTAAGACGCGGAGCGAACCTCCAGTCTTCTTTGTTCAGGTTGACCAGGATGTTCATGTCCTCCTCGGCCATCAGCTTGTAGGCGGCGCTGACGTGATGGTTCTCCAGCACCGACCTGTCATTGTACAGGATGGCGACCTCCGACCTGACGGATGGATAAAAACTGTTCAGATTTCACAGACCCTAAATGCAACACGCTTGTCTAATTGGCTCCAGCTTCAGGGGCCGTTACCAAGAGACGACACATGATTCCTAGTCGATGAACTTCTAGTTTCTTTTTTTCGATCTTAAAGGTTTGTGTTCCAACACACACAACCGACGATCCTTTCCACTATTGTTGCCGGGTGTGTTACCTGGTGTGGATGTGGAAGTTGTTTGTAGTTCCCGTGTGTTCAAAGTCATGGATCGCCGCAGCAAAAACCATGGCAAGGATCTCCAGCTCGCTTAGCCAGTGCTACACACACACACACACACACACACACACACACACACACACACACACAATGAGTGTGTTAATGTGAAAGCTTTCTGTTCACAAGCCCTATGAGTAATGAGCAGCAAAGCCATTTCTGTTTGAACTAATGTATGTTTTATTCTTCAAACCCTAAGAAGCTCAGAGTCTTTAAACTGGTTGCTTTATGCAGAATCATGAGCAAAAGGAAACATCAATGTGTGTGTGAGTGTGTGTTACCATCAGTCCGGTGTGTAGCATCAGGAAGTGGGCGGTCTGCGTGACGTCGGCGGCGTGGATCAGGTTGTGGTAGGGGTTCCTGTGTTTGCTGTAGCCGTTCTCCAGAGCCTCAACAAACTGCACCAGGGCCTGCACAGGGATCTGAGCACAGGACTCCGGCTAGTACCGTTAGCATGAGCAACGCAGTGCTAACCCTGAGCCAATCCTCAAAGCTAATAGAGATAATAGGAATGCGTCTGATTTTGAGCTGTTTTAAAGATCGATCATCCATCCAATGTTCCTGTCAAAGTTTCCAAATCTCTGTAGAAGCGTCTGCCAAGCAGTGACATTTTGTATTTATACTCTGAGTCTGTATGGGTTGTTTTTACCTACAACATGATCCATATTCTTTGACCAATAATTTAGTAAAATGAATTGTGTGCTGCCACGTTCCTCTAATGTCAGAATCCACCCGAGTAGCCAGATCAAAATGCGTGTACCCTGAACCTGTTGATGAGGTCATAGCGGGTCAGCAGGTCATACACCAGGAATTTGAGGGCGTGTTCTCCAGTGGCCTCGTGGAAGGCAAAAACGTCAAAGGACCACTGATCCACCTCCTGGAAAAACAAAGTGAACAGAACCGTTAAAAAAAAAAAAAAAAACATCTAAATGACAGAAAGCCGCAAAATAAAGCCGAGCTCTTTCAGTGTAATATCACCGTTCGTCACTAGGGGGCAGTAAGCTATGTTTCTTCAGAAGAGGTAAAGCAGCAATTAAATTAATGAGTGCAATTATTCATTAACTCACAATTATATTTGAAGTTGGTCCCCTCATGATTCATGAGTTTCAGGTCTCCAGAATAGCGAAGGAGAGTAATTAGAGAGATAATTGAATATTCTTTTCTTTTCTTTTTTTTTTTTTAAGTTTGCACAGGAAGCCCTGAAGAAGGAACATATATCAGGAAACACGCCGCTCACCACATCTACATGATCTAATTCGACCAGCTCTTCCACATCTGTTATTTCTGTTTTTAATCAGACCTGTTTTCAGACTCTTCTGCTGCTTTGGTCTAACAAACGTCCTCCTTGCACACTTTGCTCTTTTTCGCAGTGATGTTATTTCCCTTTCATTCTTTTTGTAAATGATGCTTTTTCTTAATGTCTTTACACATCCTCCTTTCTTCAGTTGTTTTTTCTACTATTTTTTTTTCAGCAGAAGTGTATCCATACCCCTTGATGTTTACCACATTTTTTTCATGTTACAAATTTCAATATGTTTTACTGGGATTTTATGGATTTTTACAAGTAAAACATCTCAAGAGATTGAAAATGCCCATTAAAAACTGCACACAATTTCACATTTGCTGTGTTTTCATTAAATAAGAAAAGCAAATTAAAATCACACATGAATACGTTTCTCCACGCGACACGTCATTTAAAAACAAGCCGCGCCTTGGATCATGTGACTCGTGTGATGCAAAAAAAAAAAAAGTTTCCAGTTTTGCGAAAGAAAGAAATTTTGATATGGACAAAAAAAAAAAAAAAAAAGAAACCTCATCCTAACAGCAAAACTTTTTATTGACAAGTGTCTGGGGAATTGGTAAAACATAAATCTAACAGAAATAAAGTATAAATAAACTCTAAATCCCTGAATGATGTCCAGCTTCGCTCTGGGATCCTCTGCTCCTGCACGTTAGTTAGCTTCCGCTTCCAGATCGCTCTAATCGTGGCCTTTGGGAATCTGTACCAGTGTTTAATTGCTCGACGTGCTTCTCCTCCCGTTCGTTACAAGTTTTGAACGAGGTTTTCGAGGTTAGAAGAGAGGCTTTGATGTGACCGTTTTAGTTCATTGTATCACAGTAAAGGGAGACAAATATGTCAGCTAGTCACTTTTTTAGATTTCCATGAAAAGCATCTTTTTGCTCTTTGTCTTTTGTTGGTTTTGTAGCAAAGATCAAGGGATAGTAATACTTTCTTCTTTTAAAGGTTTTGTTGGCTCTAGTGGCCTTTATTTGAAAGTAGTTTGACAAGAAGGAGGGTTATGAGAGAGGAAAGACATGTGGCAAATGTCACCTGGCCGGGAATTGAACCTGTGACCACCGACATCAGAGCTAGGGCCTCAATACATGGGTTGTGCTTTGCCCCTGCGCCACCACAGCACCCCACTTTTTTCAAAGTTTAATAAGTAAGGTCTTTTGTTTTATGTCTTCAATTATATTTTCTTCCTTCTTTCTCCTTCTTCTCACGTTTCCTCCTGTGACTTCTAGTTCCTGTTTTCCCTCTTCTGCATCAGTTCCCTAAACGCCTCATTTCTTTTTCTTCGTCTCTAATTTACCCCATCCCTTTTTTGCATCGGCTCTCTGCACTAAATGGAACCGATTTCCTGCTTGTCACTTTAACTTTTCCCCTCTTCCACCTGAACAAAGGATCAATACAAGAAACGTCTACATCCTGGAACAGGGTATTTACCTTTTTCTTTTCTTTTTTTTTTTTCTTTTTTTTTTACCTTGAGAGCTGTCAGAGCTGTGGGAGGGTAGGTCAGCCCAGCCATGTTAGAAGTCCGTCTGTACATCCTGTTGACACACACACACACACACACACACACACACACACACACACACACACACACACACACACACACACACACACAGATAAAAATATCACACACCAATCTCACACTTATAAATATGGGCAGTGGCATGCATATAAACACCTCTCACACAGACCCCCTCCCGACACCCTCCTCCACAGTTTGAGACCAGGATGGATTGTTTGTTGCCACGGCAACCCTGCTCCAAACACATGCACGCGAACACACACACACACACACACACACACACACACACACACACAGATGCCGGGCAAACAAGCACTGCCTGGCTGCAGCAGATATTTTTTGATTTCATGCGTCATTAAGCTGCAGCAGATGAACTGATACTGCGTTCTTTCACTGCGACTCATTTACAACCTAATGATATCGGAGCTCATAAGTTTCCCTGTGTGCCGTTCGCCTGTAGCGCGCGCGCTAACGTCATTACGCTTCGTGTTCGACCTCTTAATCACATCTGCTGTCAGCCCGGATGCTCGCCTATGTTTGCTTTGAAGGAAATCTATGGCTGCTGCTCCCTCTGCGTTCTGCCGGCGCTCCAGATTTCTGATCAACGTGGAAACGACTGAACATTTGGAAGTGTAATTTTGTCTGAAAGGGTGCAATTTACCTTTTACATTTACATCAAACCTGTCTTTTTTTATTTTAAATGCATGTATTTCAACTTTTGACAACTCTTAGAAGTTGTTTTAGTTCTACTAAAGACGACAAGCTGACCCTGGATGAAAACTTTCTCAGGGTGAACCACAGGAACTCTAATTACGAGCTCTTATGCCCCGTAAACCTTTTCACATTTTGTCACGTTACAGACATCAACTCCGGCGTATATTGTTGTGCTGGCAGATCATCACTAAGCAGCGCATGTTTGTGAGGCGAGAGGAAAAGGATGCCTGGTTTTCTCGTTTAATTTCTTGCAAATACAAGAAAACACATGCAAACAATGTATTCAACCCTTTTAAATCTGACATATACAGTTTCCCACAAATCCTGCACAAATTTCTCAAAGATGGGGGGAGGGCGAAAAGAAAAGAAAACATTTTTAAATCACATATTTAAATTATTTTTTATAAATGTTTTCCAATCATTATTGTAAAATATCAGTTAAAATAACTTATTGAAGACGGAGATGTATGGAACAAATTGCTTTTATTGTTCCATAGAGGGAAAACGCAGGAACACTGGGAAATGCTGCAGATCATTTTCAATGCACCGTTTCCTGTGTGAAACATGGTGACGGCAGCATCATGCTGTGGGACTGCTGCTCTCTAACACAAACAGGGAAGTCTGAGCTGAAGGGCCGACACCTGAAGCTAATGAAGGCAATCAAAGTTTAAAGTGGATCTGAAAGTTATTGACTAAACGCTACTGCATACATTTCAGAGTGTCGTTTGTAAAAGAGGATTACAAAACCGGCATCATTTTCCTTCCACTTCATATTTACCAGCAATTTGTTGTCTCAGTCAGTCATATAAAATACCAGTGAAACATACTGAGGTGTGTCGCTGCAATGTGACAAAAGGCAACAAAGTTCCTGGGGCGCATGAAGAATATTTGTTACCGTAACTTATAAAAAAATGAAAACAAAAAGGAAAAGCTCATCTGGCATCGCCCTGTTGTTTTCTGAAGTGTTGCTTTAATGTGTTAGCATCTCTAGTTATTTCTTACCTCAAGATTTTTCACAGTTTCACGTGTCTGTTTCTCACTTTCACAATTTCTCATGTTTTTATATCCCATGTATGCATAAGATTACAGATCTATTTAGTGTCTTTGATGCTAGCTATATTTTTAAATATGATATTGATTAGCCGGTAACAAAAGGTGTTAGGTGGAAACAAAACCAAACTGAAGTAACTTTCATTAGAGAACTTGATGTCTTAGGAACTTGTTGAAGTAAGCAGCTTAGCAGTGGTAACAAACGTAGAACTAAACAATGATGACGATGTTTAGCACAATGTTATTATTATTAGTATTATTACTTCATTTCCTGTCAGAAGCAAACTTCTTGATTGAATGAAATTATGTTAATCTAAAACTACAAGAGGTTTGATTAATTTTTGGCTCAACTGTTTGTGTTTTTCCAAGATGCTTTTTCCTTTATATCAACATGTGTTGCTGCACTAAAACGGATGGAGGTCAAACTATAGAGAAATTAAAAGAATATTGTGTACCTTGGGATAGAGAGCAGAGTGTACAGCGTTCAGCTGTGTCTAGACAGGGTATAATACTTTTTTATGACCTAAATGTCTCAGTTTTTGTATTTTTTTTCCCTTTCAGAGGCTACAGCATGCTGTCGGTGTTCCTTTGAGTTTCGAGCATCCAGCATGCCGACGTGAGTAAATCTTCATCAGTGAAGTCGGGGCTGCATGAGATTAACTCCTGCTATTTTGGGTCACTGATGTGATATGTGTTGAGTTGTAGTTTTCTGATTCTGTACGGAGAGTGAGAGCTTCGGTTTTCATGTAGCAGAATTTTATGCCGAAAGCCTAAGGTCATCTCAAAGGATTGTTATCCTTTGGCATTACTTCTGTGTGTTTGCGCTTGTTAGATTTTTAAATCCATGTTCGGGATCTTTTGTAATAAAAACCAAAGAATATGAACAGTCTGTTATAAATCTCATTATGCAGCTTCTGTGCAGAGTGGTGAATGAACCTAATGGGTAAATTGCTCTTATATCACATTTACATGTAAAATGTAAGTGAAATGAAGCATGATGAGAGTCGTATTATGAGTAATCACTATAAAATGGACTTCAATATTTAAGTGCTCATTTAATGTCTTTGTCAGACTGCTATAGAGAAGAAAAACAAGAACAAAGATTTCATTGGTGGATTAAAATGTATGAGAACAATCCAACCCATCTGTGACAATAACTCTAATGACTTTAGGCTTTTTTAACCCCACATTCCTAAAGGTTTCACAAAACAAACTTAACAGAATTTCATAGAAAAGTCAGACGTCTACGTTTACCTCTCCACAAAGATTCCGGCTTGCACCGCGTGAACGATGCTCCTGAACCTCGGCTTCTCCTCGGGACGCCGCTTAGCCAGGCCCATCTTCCTGCTGAAAGTGCACGCCAGCCAATCGCGCACTTCGCTCGGCACGGACTCCGCCTGCAGGTCACTGAGCTCGTCTTCCGTGTCCAGCAGGCGCCTGCAGAAAAGGGATGGGATCTGTGACGCATCGTGCGCACTAGCGCATCCGTCTGACCGTCTGCTCCGCGCAGACTCACCTGGTCTCGTCCGTGTAAACGGCGTCCAACATGGCCGCAGCCAGCTCCAGGTTCCTGCGGAGCTCCTGCAGGTCCACGACGCCCCGGTCCATCTGCTCCAGGGCCGCCTTCAGCCTGGACAACAACAGGAGAGGAACATCATGATGCAGGTTGTTAAATACTCACTATAGTACCAGAAAACAATGTTTGTGACTCGGTGTATTATATATTGGGTTTGAACTGAGAACGGACCATTTTATAGAAATAAAATACATTCTTTCAAAGAAAAGTCTTTATAATCCTCACGTCAGGGAATGAATGTATATGAACATAAGACAAAATGTTAGGGTTAAAAAAATAGATGAGGCATAATTTATGGTTTGTCTTTGATGCACTAATACATATCACACCTTTTAACACATACATTGTTTGTTGCTGCATAGCAAAGCTTGTGTATTATGTGTGAATCTTGGACTGAAGTCAACAAAAGTATTCATAGCTCCTGAAGATTTTCATACTTCGTCACATTTCAGAAACTAATTTTCAATGCATTTCCTTGAAATTTCCTGTGATTAACATAAGTTACACGACTAACACAACATTCTACATACTGCATGAGTGGAAAATGTTTTTGTTTTAATTTAAAATATTCGAGGCAATCATTAACAAAAACCTGTGAAAATTTACCAAACGCTTGACACTGAGTGGAGGATCACCTTCCATCAGGTGAAACTCATCCCAAATATGGAATCAGAGCAACAACTGAGGGTTTCAAAGAAGCTATTCTGTTAACAAAAACGGACTAAATAATGTAATTAATCCTCCCTCATGGTCTCAATGCTCTGCAGACGAGCCATCGTTTGATCCAGGTGTGTTGAACGTGGGGGAAACTAAAACATGCAGGATATCGGACCTGGAGGACCTATTCTGGACACGCCTGCTCTAAATGTGCAAAGCTGGTAGAGACCAAGCCCTAAAGACCTGCGGTAGGAATCACAGCAGGTGGTTCTATAAAGTGTTGAGGATGGAGCGTAGACTTTTATTTGTAAAAGAAAAATGTAAAAACCATAGACCCTCCACTTCAGTTATACCCTTCTTTTGTTAACCCGTCACATCTGGCTAAATGTTATAAAATCTGTTCATCTTTTGCACTAAAGACATTAGATTGCATGTTACATATGGATATTGGGAATAACTTCATATAAATGTGCCTCATTGTTTCATCCCACACCTCCCAGTGACATTTTGAAGCTTGTTCCATCAAAGTGTTCCTGCCTCTTTAGATGTATTTTTACTCCTCTCAGTTGTTTATTCTTTGGGTTATTTTCAGCACTTTGGAGTTATTGTTGTCAGCTTGAATTGTTTTGTACTTTTACAGCAGCTAATTTATCTCAGCAAAGGCACTGGTTCTAAAATCAGACACGTCCACGATTTGCAGATTTGAGAGACAAACTGTGTCGGTGAAGACTGGAGGTTTGATCTGAGGTTTCTCTGTGGTTTCCTCCATGCATTTCTCCTTTGTGAGATGATTAGAGCGTTTTCTTAAATAAAATGCATAAACAGACAGGATCCTTTCGACAGCACATTCTCCGAGTCCAGAGTAATCTTTATTGAACTGGTTCTGGTTCTCTGATGCAGTGCTTCTCACTAAAAATAAAGCTGTTTTTTGTTGTTGTTGTTTTTTTGTTTTTTATAAAATTGGATTTAAAGCTATGTTTACATTTACAAGGTCATTTACATATAAAAACATGTTTCTGCCAACAAGCGTCCGGCTTGCTGTACAATAGCTGCTTTCTTTGGGAATATCTTGTTTGATTCAGGCAAATGAGACACATAAGATCCTTCTGATGGCTCCACCATGTTGTTTTAAAGGGGCAGTACTAGGTGTTTTCCAGTCACATAGTTACATTTCATAGTACAGTAAAGTAAATGTTACCTTCAGTTGTTATAAACATGCTGTTATGTCTCAAATATGACTTAAAGAAATTTGACTTCTAACACTTTGAAATTGTGACTCTGTCCCTTTAAGAAGCTCCTCCTCCTTCTGAAACTCCGCCTTCAGGGAGTCATCACAACATGGCTCCTCTATTAACCCTTTAACAAGGTTTTTACCAGCGTTGCTCTGAGCAGTAACTCCTATAATGAGCTGAGCAGATATTCAGCTCCACCAGGTGTTTTCTAATTGCTGCTGGCTAGTCTGAAGGAGCTGAAAAGTCATGGGAGAAACATGTTCAGTGAAGCTCAAAAGCTTGGAAACTGCAGCTCCGAGGAGAAACTTCATGTTCAAAGGCGAGACACCAACTTTGGGGTTGGGGTGAGGGTGGAGGTAAAAAAATAATATTTTCAGAATCATCGTGATTCAATTTAATTTCCATTTGGGACAAAAAGGGATTTTTGAATTGAATTTGAACGATTCAAAGGACAAACACAGGAAATGTTCAAAGAGCTACTGCTTTGCCATTTCAGTGCTTTACTACACCGAGATCCTCGCATATATTGCAGTCTGTGCATTCTGCGCTCCACACGAGGAAACAGCAGCCCTGAGAGAGCCTCTCTGCAGACTGCAGACACCTGCCAACCCACTTGATCCTCGTACTTTGCACCCACACAGCTGCTGTCCCGTTCGCACCGCACAACCAGAATGTGGAAATCTGCTTCCTCCAGATGGACACATGATGACACCATGCCTCCTGTCAATCAGCCGGCGCCAGCGCTAAACGACTGGAGGCTTCTCCGGGGAATAAACAAGCTGTCAAATAAACATTATGCACTGTGCTTTTCCTAGCCAAGGCGGCCCTTGTAGTCAGTCAGAAAAGTTCATGCTGCTGCAGTCGGCCAGATTTTCACTAAACTTGACAAAGAACAGCTTGCAGTTGTTACCGCGGCAGCAAAAGCCAATTATCCTACAGTCAAACTTTCTTTCATCACACTGGATATCAGATGCTCTGCATGCAAACCGATACAAAAAGTAGGAATAATAGATCAGTCGGTGCAAAGCAAAAAGTCACCATGGAGATTTAAAACACTTCTTATCAGCAAATGAACAGATTCAGTAAACTCAAATGTACCAAAACAAATCTAATGTCAGCGCTCCTTTAAGAATCCCTCCGCTCTAAGAGTTGAGAGGAGAGAAGTAGTGAATTGTGGAAATGTTGCAGATTTAGCCCGACGCTCATAAACCCTGGCACTACCGTATAAATAACGCTGATGTTACAAAAAATGTTCATGATTACGAATTCCCAACATTTATTATGTCATTGATTGTAGTCATAACATATTTAAGTTTATTTTAAAAACAGATTTTTTTATGGATTAGAAGGAAAGTTTACCAACAGCAAAATCTATGGTTTTGTAGAGCTTATTTTACCAGTTTAATAAATGTCCATGTTTTATTTAAAAGGGCAGTATTTTGTAAAACTGACTTTTTTTAGCTATATACCATGTTATAATGTTATTCCTTCATCAAAGACATACCTGGAGTGTTGCTTTGATTCTTCCATGCATGTTTGAAACATCCTTAAATTTCCCGGGGCGACCACGTTTTTCAAATGACTTCCCTCACTCAGCTCCTCCAGACTAGCGGCAGCAGCTGTTATCAAACACCTGCTGAGCTCATCGTATGAGCTCCTTCTCTGTTCAGTGGTTGTAAACATAATGACATGCTGAAAGCTGAGTTTCAGAAAGAGCAGGAGCTTCTTAAAGAGACAGAGGCCCAAGTTGTTAAACTGCCTCACATAAATATCATTTGGTATATTTATAACAATTGAAAATATCTTAGTTCCTTAATACTTGGGCTATAAAATGTCACTATGTGCCTGGAAAACACATAATACCACCCCTTTAAATTGATGGAATGATGGCCCGACTGGAGCCGTTTGCCATAGGTGACCCTCCGCTTCAGTTTCTGCCCTTCAGAGGGATTTTATGCTCCTGCCTTGACAGAAGACCATTTAAAGTCAGTTTCTGTATCCTGTTGCTAGTCCTCTGAAATGAAGTGCGATTGCTTCTTAATTACGCTAACATCGGTATCGGTCCGATAAATAAAACCTGGCCGATGTTAACAACAGATTTATGTCCGTCTTGTTGCTGTTTGTTTCTGGAGGAGCTTGGTCATGTGACATTTGTTTGGTCATGTGTCATTTGTTTGGTCATGTGACAGTGATTGTTGGATAACATCAGCCACAACAGCAATATTAATATCAGATATCGATATCGGCCCACATTGTCATATCTGTGAATCCCTAGTCTCCATATATGATGTGTATCAGAAGGCATTAGTTTAGTTATTTTTCGCTTTGATCAGCGTTATAAGAGTTTAAAAAACAGAGTTTTATAAGAGTCAGTGGGCCTTAATGTCGATACATGAAAATATAGGGTGTAATAGTCATTTTTAGAACATAATACACAGCTAAATTAAATTAGCTGTGTATAAAACCATCAAACAAAGAGTTATCCTGTCACTGTCACTGTCACACTAGATATGTGCTTCCCAGAACAACGACGAGAGGGTTTTAATTTTGTTTTAACTGCGGAGGGTTGGCAGCTCTACCCCGTGTCGCTCTATTCCTGTCAGTGAACGACAGGCCTTATCACGTAAGGTGAGAAACGAGAAGATCGCAGCATTATTTTTGACACTGAGAGGTTTAGACGATTCCAGCTTAGCGATTCCCCGTTCTGATCGTAGAGCAAGAAGTCCAGAGTTTACCCTGCGCAGAAGGAAAAGTTTTTCATCTTGACACATTATGTGCAATAATGTGTTCGTCCAGAACCTCAGCTCATCAGTCCGGCTCTGTCAAACAGACGGCAGGAACACTGTACGTAACGTTGGACTGCTGATTCACACGAGTCCGTTTATAAAACCATCAAACAAAGAGTTACACTGTCACTGTCACTGAACGTGAATATATTTTTTTGTCTCTGTAAAATATGACACACTGTATTCCAGTGTCTTTTTTAGGCTTTTTTTGTTTTTGGAGTCTGTTGATTTTATTTTATAATCACCACAAAATGGCTTGCCAACCAAGCACTGACCACAACTACACATGAATTTGTGTAAGTCAGACAGGATAATGCACATTTTCATCCCTCCGAGTGCTTTTATTTCCCCGTTCTTTTACGTTTGATGCCATCTGTTTTGACGCCACATAAGATTCTCCAGACGTTTCTGTTTCCTGTCTCTTTCTCTCTCTCTGGTTTCTCTCAGATCCACGCTCGTTCCCGTATGTGTTAAAGAGTGTGACAGCTGTTTTTGGCTTCTTCCAAATTTACAGCTGGCACACCTGTGCTCCATTTAGACTCTGGCCCGCCGCAGCAGTCAGCGCTGCTCTTTCTCCATCTCCCGTCAACAGCAGCAGCAGCAGAGAGTTAGTCTGTGTTTGTGTCCATCGTTAACTGATTCTGATGAATACTGTTTTCCTGGTGCGCCGCACACAGCCTGGGCTGCTGCCTGGCGGCCGGCACGCTAAGGCGAGCAATCTGCCCGCCTGTCCGTCCCCACCTCTGTCCACATTTGTCTCTCCACGCATTTCTGCCTGCTGTCTCTTTCCCCATTCCAAAGGTTGACTTCCTGTTTCTGATTACCCGCTGGTTCCCTCACCCTCCATTCTCCATTTAACATTTTGTCAGCTCTCTCCTCACTTTGCTGAAAAAAAACAAAACCTTTCATGTCCTGTAGGTAACCTTTTACTGTAAGCTGCCTCCAGGGAGGGAGACAGAGAATTATCGAGCATTATACAAAATATTTCTGAATTGAATTCGATTTGAATTGAAGGTGAGACATTTTATACTTTTAACCTTCGACATGTCTAAATTGTCAAAATTTGGATGGGATCAGTTCTTGTTTCCATGTACAGTGGCTGACAAAAGTATTCACACCCCTGAACTTTTCCACATTTTGTCACATCACAAACACGACTGTGAATATGTTTCATTGGAGTTTAGTGTGAAAGCGGTGAAGTGGAAATGAAATTATGCATGTTTCAAAATTCAAACTTATGACAAAATTTCAAGTTCCAAGAGTATGAATACTTCTACAAGCTGCTGTATAATTTAATACAAAAGAACATAATTAAGGAATGGAAAGTACTGGTTCTCTTTGGATTTATGTGTCCAAAAAAATATTGGGCCCATAAAGTCTACTTTTTTAAATAGTTTTAATATAATCTGCAGCTAGAATCAGCATTTATGTTTCTGGACCACAGGGAGCACGGAAAGTGACAAAATGACAATTCATCAGGCACTTGTTAATAAAATAAATGTTCAAAGACACTATTAAAGAGAAAACTGCTGACATCAGCCACACATGATTTACTCAATATTAATAAAGAGAAATAAACAACTGAGAAGCAGCGAAAACCTTCCAAAAATTAAATCAGCTTACATTTAAATAACTCACAGAAACCTTTTAAATAATAAATCAATATTTTTTTTTCTAATTATACTAAAATTTAATAACAACGAAGTCCACAACAGAGTCTTATAAATGGTTCGCGCCAAACCGTTAAATCTGTTGATTTGGATCAAACGTGTGAACGGACCGGATCGATCCAGAACCCGGCAGAACCGGGAAAGTCTGAGATTGTGAGTTTTAACTAAAATAAAGCATTCTAGCTTAATTTACATTAGTCTATCACACAAAATGTTTTTGAAATATATTCAAGTTTGGTACAAAATGGTAAAAGCCCAAATGGGTGAATATTCCTGTATGTTTGTTTTGATTGGGGAGATAAACGTCATTTCTTTCTCCGTGACCGAGTCTGACAAATGTCAGGAAGTTAACGACGACGCGCAGTCAAAGCACCTATTTTTATTATTATTATGATCTATAACCAAAAAAAACTGAAAACTGGAAGAAAGCTGGATGTAATATTTAGCAGTTGCCATGGCTACAGGGACAATTCAACTTAAAGAGTAGATTGTTTCCCTTTTTTTAAATGGCATTGTGTATTTGGATGTAGCTGGAGATAATTAAAGGTTTTTCTGGCAGTGAATGGCAACCTGTCGTCGTAAAGTTCAGTGCGTGGGAACGGGAGGTTAGACTGTTTCCATTTTTTTGTTTTTTTTTTTCTTCTCGTTGACGCCGTCACGTCTCCCCTGAGATCAGAATACTTTCTGCTCTCCGTCTGAATGTGGGATCATGTCACAGATCATCAGCTGTGCGTCTGCTCTGTAAGCCTCTGCCGACACAAATAAACAGCAATAAAAGCCTTTTTTAGATTTTATTCAAGCCCATTTGCATTGGCTTGTTTTTTGTCCTAAATATTCCTTCTGAAGTTTAAATGTTACAGATCCTCTTATCTACTGCCGTACTTTTATTTTCTGTATTTTCTTTACGTTTGCCTGTCTGTGGGTCTCGGTGACTCATCTGATGGAAACCATCCTGCTGCTTGATACTGAGCCCACACACTTTTAAATGGTCTTTATTATTCCTCTGTGGAACCTGGAATATTGCATATATAATCAAGCAGGGTTGGTTGGCAGCTAGTTATATTTACTAGATTATTCAATTACATTTACTTGAGAAACATTTTTGAAAAAACGTACTTTAAGGAGCATTTTAAGCCATGCTTTTTACTGAGTCATTTTATTATGAAGTATTTCTGCTCTTGCTTGAGTAAAACGTCTGGGTTTCAAAATTTCCACTTAATTTTATATTGTGGTCCATCTGATGATGTAATTTCTAAATAATAAATGATCATTTCATCGTTACTCAGTAGTGACTTCTCTTTTTACCAAATACTTTGTTACTCTTAGAGTAATTTCTTGGAAAGCTACTTTCTACTTTTACTTGTGTAAAGACATGTTGAAGTAGTTTTACTCTTACCTGAGTATATTTTTGGTTACTCTGCCCTCCTCTGACTGCAGCACATTCATAAAGATGAACTCAGACAACGTCGTCGGAAATAAAGCTGGTTCAGTTTCACTTTGGAACAAATTGCGACAAAAACCAGCGGACTGACTGACAGGTGGCGTCATGTCAATTGCTTCTAGTTGCCTTTCTATAGTGTGTGTGTGCGTGCGTGCGTGCGTGTGTGTACATCTTACCTCTGTGATGTAATTTTGTATTTCTGCCTGTAAAACACACACAAAAACAAGACAAGTTACTGGAATGATCAAATCCGGCACACAGACAGCCATCAACATGAGTTCCCCCCGCTAAAAACAAGCAGTAAAGAAAACGAGAAGCGAGCTTGTGTTTCAGAATCAGGCCTCGTTAATTGAGCGGCGGAGCCACGAACTGCTGCTTCTGCGTCCGTCGGACCGAAATAGCTCTCGTTCGCAGAATGATGCATTGGCTTGACCTTCTGCACTGCTGTTAATGAGAAACATCTTGTGTTCAGTATTATGTCTCTGTCAGTAACGCTGTCTGGCATTAACAAACACATTTACAAGCCGGCTTCATCAACAGACCTACACAAGCGGCTGCAGCGGGGCGGCAGCTAGAAACGCAGAGCGGCGCACAGGAAGCGTCCGACACTTCAGAGGTGGTAAACTAATTTAGCACCATCAAGGCGTAAATGTGGTATTTATTACATTGAATCAGATCTAAATCATGTCGTTGTTCGATGGACCAACTGAAGGCATGGACTTAAAACGAAACCTTTACTTGACAAGCAAAAAACTTTCCTTAAGATCCTTAACATTTCAGGTGCGTTGTGGGGCCAGGTTGAAGCACACTGCCGACTCAGACCCTGCCACTGTGGCCCCTCGACACGGGATTCTTTTGTAATGTTGGAGTTTCTACTTGTGCTTTTGCAGTAATTACCGTGAAACAATTAATATTTAAATGTCAACTCTCTGATTGCTACTTCCTCCAACTGTGGATTCATACCCCGCAGTTCACTCTGTCTCCTGCTCAGCAGTTTGCTCTTAAGAAATACAACAGAACATCGACTGCTTCTCCATTTTGAAAACTTTATTTGGAGACACGTTGCAACGCGACGTCACGCGCACAAGAACCCACAAAAATCTGCTCCCCAACAACAACTACCATTGGTTTTATAGCCGTCAAGTTGACAACATAACTGGTTAAATCTTAAATTTACATTTGATATATAGAAGAAAAGGGATGCAGTGCTTTGCTAGTAACTGTCAACACTACAACAACCAGACAACAAGGTCAGGAAAGGTTTTAATAGAGAGAGAGGGAAGCAGATCAGGTATGCTAGCTTGACTTTGACAACCTTAACATGTAGATGTGCTGCAGAGTTCGCTGAGTTTTGGTTCGGTAAAAAAAACACACCGAACCACATTTGTTTCAGCAACAAGGCAGTTCAAAGTGCTTCACACGATTAGGAGAAAGACAAAAACAACAACACAAGCACACAAAAGACAAACTACAATTTAAAATGTTCCACTTGATATTAATCGAAGGCAGCTCGAAACAGGCGAGTTTTTACCCTTGTTTTAAATGAGATTAATGAAATATAAAACTAAATGTATACATGGACATTTTATCTATTTTATTTTATTTTATTGTTTATGAGGGTGGCTGAAGAGATTTCACTCGCCACAGAAAGGCAGGTCGGACCAGGGGAGACGTGTTCATTAAGAACACTTTGCTTTGATCTGGTGAAAAGACTCGGACCTTCCTGAGCTGAAAACGCTTTTGAAATGAGAGAGGAGCCTCCTGAATAAACAGCAGGAAAGGAGTTTGAGGGCAGGAGGAAAAAAAAGAGGTATAAGAAGCGAAAGTACCAGGTGGGTTCTTGTTGAAAGCCTCTGGGAATTATTTACTGGAGTTTGCCCGCCCGGGTTTCAACTCGGTCAGAGGTGGCAGCGGCAGCAGAGGCTCACGGAGGCAAATTGGGGTACTTTAAACCTTTTAGTGGCTGATTGCTCTCATTTGCATCTAAATGCTTTCCCCTCTGAGTCATAACTCCGCCAAACACGGACGCACACAAAACACAGAAACGATACTTTTTTCTCTTCTTTTTCTTTCTGCATTTTGCACACGACCCAAACACAACCTCTGAACACCATTACCTCCGAGACTGATGACAAACAGTCGCAAAATTTGTGAGGGAACGACGCAAATGAATAACGTCTGCTCATCTGTGTCTTCATTACAAACGGAACGAGCCCAGTTCGTTGGCTTCGTCGCAGCTTGCGACAAATTTATAGGAGCTGTGAGCAAAAAGGACATCCGGGCTGCCGTAGGACCGTCTCGTCTCGCGCCAGTATATTCTGAATCTGCTCCGCCAGCTCACCTTTTCTCTCTGAATGCATTTATGTTGTCACACTCCATTTCTATCTTCTCTCTCTCTCTTTCTTTTATCTACTTGCTTTTTTGTCATTCATTCCTCCGGGCGTAATGGTGTACACACACACACATACACACACACTCACAACCCAGCGACTCAGGCTTCACGTTGAATTTAGGGAGATTGATTATTCCTGTCTTACGCCGGCGGCGACGTACATGTTTGCACAACAAAGGCGCATCGGTAAAAAGGTTCTGTACGTTTCTGATTCTGCAAACGAATCTCGTCTTTGCCCCTACAATTTTCTATCACAGCTCTCTGTGTGTTTTAAATGACTTCCCGCCCCTCCTCATTTCATGACAAGAAATTTTTAGACATAATCATCTTTCACAATGTCCTCCCGCTGGTGTGTGTGTGTGTGTGTGTGTGTGTGTGTGTGTGTGTGTGTGTGTGTGTGTGTGTGTGTGTGTGTGTGTGTGGAGCGGAGTCGTGCACACGCGGATCGCCGCCGGTGACCGAGAGCTGCTGCTGTGTGGGGATGAAGACGGAGCGCTAATTAATGAGTCTTTCTAAATAAGAGTCTGTAGCGACAAATCATTTGCTGGCTCCGGCCTCAGCTGCCGTGTGGCCTGAAGGTTTGGAGGAGCTTCAACGCTTTGATCTCCGACCTGCAGGGGAAACGTGGGCCAGCTGGGGATGGGCCTTGTGAGCGCGCCGAGGCGGAATTAACTCCCCGAGGAACTCCCGTCCACAAATGGAGTACAGTCCAACAAAATATAATCGCCCGGCTGCGGCTGATTTGGGCCATTTCGTGTCGTTCGGCATCTTTATTTTGCGCCTATGAAGCCACGTAATGTCCTCACTGGCACTCAATGTGGCTTCTAGTCTTCTTACTGATCATCATCCTGAGCATTAGCATTAGCCCAAATGTTAATGGAGCATCTTTTAACATTTGGGCTGTTAAAGATACACTTGAGCAGTTGTTTTATCTACCTTCGAATAATTATTCAACAACAAATATGCTACCTCATTTTTGGATATATGTCTGTTTTTCAGGCCTTTAACAATTTTTTTTGGGATATTCGACCACTTTTTCAATTAGAAATGGAAGAACTCATTTATTTTGGTTGGTTTCCGTAATGCCAATAGTTTGAACCAAAGATGACAACCACAACCTA